AACTCTGTAGTCCTTGTGAATGTCTCATTTTATCCATAATGATGTGGACACTGTGGGCTGGTGTCTGCATCATAAATATGTATATTTTGTGTGTGTGTGTGTGTGTATATATATATATATATATATATATATGTGTATATATATATATATATATATATATACAAAAAATCATTGTTATATTTGGATGAGGCTAACAGTCCAAATATCCATCAATAGTGGATCATTAAATAAACAATGAAACAATGAGGTGCTGATATGAAAATAGCTCCAAAATATATAACTAAAAAGGAAGATTTTAGAAGTGTACATATCATATGCTATCTTTTGTTGGGGGCAAATAAGAATAAAGAGTCCTATTTTCCTGTATCTGCATAGAGATACTTAGATTCTCTGTAGTCATACACATAATGCTGAACAACAAACAAAACACAACTGGTTGTCTGCTGGGGAGCAGAGATGGGGGAACCAGGCAAAAAGGTGGATGGGAGCTTTTCACTCAACACTTTTTTTGTGTTTTTGAACTAAATGAACATATTATCTATTTAACAATTAATAATATTATTAAACCAGAAAGAGTGAAATCTTGCTATTTGGGACAACATGGATAGACCCTGAGGGCATTATGCTAAGTGAAATAGGTCAGACAGTGTAAGATAATACTGGATGATCTCACTTCTGTGTGAAATCTAAAAACTGATACAAACAAACAAAACCCCCCAAAACCAAAAATGAAACTAAGAGATACTGATTGGTAGTTTTGCACTGGGGCCCAAGGTGGTGATGAAAAGGGTAAAGGGGGTCAAAGGTACAAAATCCCAGTTATAAAGTGCATAAGTATGGCGATTATGGTCCATAATACTACATTACATATCTGAAAGTTCCTGAGAAAGTAATGGCCGGGTGGATGAAGAACTGAGAACCGGGAAGAGGGAGAAACGAGATGAATCCAACAACCCATTCCAAGCAAAGAGCACTGGGAGGTGGGGCGTGCTTCTGGAACATGCCTCGTTCTGTAGAGTGGGCAGATGGGCTCATCTGGAGCAATGTCAGAACTTGAGGGTGGTAGTCAAACAGGGAACAGTTTGATGAGACTCTCACATGCCAAGGTAAGAGTTTGGATTTCAACTTGAAGGTGATGGGAATCACGGAAGGGCAATGAGAGGAAAGTGGGCGATGAGATGTGTGCTTTGTGACCATCTCCCACAGAGTAAGTGCCTGTGTCATGGTGGACAGGGCAGAGCTGGGGTGGGGGAGACTGTTTAGGAGGCTATTGGTCATCCTTGGGGTGAGAAATGAGCAGATGAGGATGAGAGGAGTTCCTGATATCACCCTACTGCTGGCTACGGTCTCTGATTTCTCATCTTCTCCTTGGGTTAAATTTTGTTCATCCCCTCAGACAGTCCACAGACTTTATTTTGGATTCATCCTGATCTTCAGTTGGCCGTTGATGACAATATTCAGTTCAACAAAAAACAGTTGCTCACAACAAAGGCAACGGGAACCTTCTCTGCTTTCCACTCTCCCTCTCAACCTGAGTGCCCGTGAAGGAAGCTCAGGTGGGGGCCCACTGAGTGGAAGGCAGAAGCATCGCCTTCTTTCTGAGTTCGGTTCCCCCCTCCCCAGTTCCACCAAGCTTGTACACAGTTCCTATAGCAGGCTTATGTCAGAGGTTATGTTTTTGTCAGTTCGAACTCTTGTCCAAGCTGGGACAATGGTGCAGGCAGTATTTAGCAGCATGACTGCATCCGCGGTAAGCCACTCAAACATTTCTCTTTAATTTGCTAGACAGCTGCTGCCCTGAAACCCTAAGGGGCCCCCTCCACTATCCTGGCCACCTCCTTTGCTCCCTTCCTTACAAACTTCTGGATATTATTGGGCCTCCAGCAATGAAAGGCACCTGGGACTTGCCCATCTCAAAGCCCTTTGTTTGCTAAGTTATAGCCCATGCAGCACAGGCAGTTAACTATTGCATTCATCACCCATGTTTTCCAGTAGTAAGGCTGACATCTCATCCCATATAAGGCAACTCATACACAAAGTGTTCCCTTATAAGATTTAAAAAACACAATTCTAATAATTGTGAATATATTCATATGAAGTGGAAAATATACGAAACCCATATAAAATCAAAGACAACAATACATCATTCCAAGGTTGTCAAACATTCAGGATATATTTCATTTTAATATAAAAATGTCTTGGACAGCTTGTCTCATAGGCATACTACATGAGAAAAGCCAGACATCAGCAACTAATGGTTTTTGGTTTTTTTTGCCAGAAAGCTGAACAATATAGTCCTGACTATGTAAGCTTTGAGTGGACAGCTTTGGGTGTGGGCAGGCACTTTTAGGGGTAACATACACTTTATTTAGTATTGCTCTAGTATAGGTTTTTACGTGACAGTTGAGCTCCTTATCAAATGAATACTTCCACCTTGCTATTCTAGTGAATTGGAATTACTAGGGGTAAATGACTTTTTGATTCCATAGCAGTCTGCTGCATTATAAAGATTTGGACATCATGCCATCATTCCTTTGAAATGGTGTAGCAATTCAATATGAATAATTTTTTAAAAGGAGGAGAATCTGTCCACATATGAAAGACTGTAGAAAAAAATGTTTCTATAAGAACCTTGAGAGTCAAGTATATGATAATAGAGTACTTTTTTTTTTACCATGAAATAAACTGAAAATTTAAGGAAAAAAGTTGCCTCCACATTAAAAAAATACTATATATTATACATGCACACATACAAGGTGGGCAAAAGTAGGTTTACAGTTGCAAGTAACATTCCTTTCAGTGAATAAAGCCATTGTAATAATCACAACCTGAATGTCCTTTTCTGTATAAACAATTGTAAACCTACTTTTGCCCAATGTGTCTATCTATCTAGGATTAAAGGAAGACCAGAGAATAGGAAAAATTGATAAACATATATTGACAAATGACAATACATTATATTTTTAAAATGACTATAGAAAGCAAGAATAAACAGATTCCCTGTTGTAGCTCTGAATAAAAATTTCTTAGCATTGAGGTACAACCTGCTTCTTTGAATTCAGGGTCAAATTTGGCTTTTATTGAACAAAAATGCTGACAGATATTTAATTTTTTAAAAAATTTGAATTGTTAGTGTTTCTAAAAATATTCTAATTAAAATGTGATCTAAAAAACACTATCTTAAAACTGGACTCATGCAGGTTAAAGATCAACAATTAACAGAATAAGGAAATGAGGTGAGACCACTACACAAGTGGCCCCAAATAAGCCATCCTTCCCAGTATCCTCACCTTTCCATAACTCCCTTCCAAAATGACTCCAGGCTTGGTCCTATCAGTCATATGAGGGCTTGTAGCTAAATGGACCATAATAAGCATTACTCAAACACAGGCATATCTCAGAGATACTGGGGGTTTGGTCCAGACCACTGCAATAAAACAAGTCACAAAATGTTTGGTTTCCTACTACTTATAAAATTTATCTTTATATTATATTGTCATCTCTTAGGTATGCAATAGAATTCTGTCTAAAGAGATTTTGTACATACCTTAACGAAAAAGATTTTACTGCTAAAAAACTCTAACCAACATCTGAGCCTATTAGAAAAAGGGTGCCAATAGACTTCCTCAGAGCAAGGTTGTCACAGCTTTTCATTAGTAAAACACGGTATCTGCAAAGTGCAATAAGGTGGAGTGCAATAAAATGAGGTGTGCCCGGAGAGGCTTGAAAAATGTTTGCATGCTGGCTCCTCTCAGAACTCAGGTACTCGGCTGTAAGAATGCTTGTCAAGTTTTCTGCAAAAAGAGAAGCCATGTGGAGGAGAATTTTTCCAACAGCCAGCACTAGACGTCCAAGTGAGGTCATCCTGGATGTTCTATTCCCAGAAGAGCTCCTGGTTGAAAGCTTCACATGAGTGACTCTAGCCAATATCAGATGGAACAGAACTACTCAGCTGAGCCCTGCCCAAATTCTTGACCCACAGAACTCTAAGAAATGCACTTGGTATTATTTTAAGCAATTACATTTTGTAGTGTTTCATTACACAGCAGTAGATAACAAATACAGGAAATGATATCAAGGATTTCTCAAAGTTCTTTCTAGAAATAATTCCGGGGTACATTCTTCACTGACACATACTTCCTATATTTCTGTCATCTATTAATTTATTATTAAGCCTCTATCTTTCATTCTGACTTTAACCAGATGGACAGGACTGAGGTGATTAGTATATGTGAAAAGCATGGTTAAGAATGGCTTTACTGTGTACTGACTCAAAACAAATGCCAAGTACTTGCTGGATCTCATAGAAATAGCATTCTTGATGATGGGATATATCTTAATTCTACTCCACACTGTGAGCAAACTGTGGGTGGGACAGCATGATGGAAAGAAGTGAACTTTAAAGAACTTCAAGCACATAAACCTTCTGTGATCCAATCAAGCCATTTTCTCTCTGCATTGCCCTATATGGAATTGTATCCAAACCCCCAAACTTAGGTACTAGAATGTGTAAGAGTCTCTGGAAGAATTTATTTTCTTAAGAAATAATTTTTTCAAAATGTGAAATTTATTAGACTGAACAAACCATTGGTTGGGTTTCCATCATCTTTTTCTGGAACTAATGTGCATTAGTGAAAGAACGCATGAGAGAGAAGCTGTGGTAGGAGCAGAAGTAGAAGAGCCCAAGGCAGTGGGTGGCTAACACACTCTCTTGGGAAACCGTGGTGCTACTTCACTGGTAGATTTTATCTCAAGTAAGAAACTACAGCAACTAACTGTCTCGAAAAACAAAGTGTCTGGATACCAATTAGAAAAGATGTCACCTGCCACTAAATGTAACTAATTTTAGCATAATTGCTGCTATTTCCATTGCTTAAAGGATGTTCTCTGTGTGCTTATTGATAGAATCACCTCCCAGGTGGGTGTGGACAGAAGGTTTAGATATAAAATGCCAATAAAGGAGTGTCCCGATCAGACAATGACACAAATGTGACACTTACGGACAGCAGTATCTGGATGGCACTGTGGATGACCTCCAGGTACTGGAAGTCGACGATGCAGCCTGTGACAGAGACATACGTGTAATCGTCCATCGCGCCGTGGGCGGACGGGGGCAGCACTCTGCGAACGCAGCCAGGCCCGTGTTCCCGCCACCATGACCGGTGCACAGAGATGTTGAATGTCATCAGATCTGTGTCCTAGGTGGGTGGGAGACAAAAGATCCAAAGCAAACAGTCACGTCACATCGAATCTTTGATTTTTACCTTTGGAGAATTCAGGATGGATGAAATTATTGAAAGAATGACTTAAATTTCAAGTGAAAAGTAACAAAAAACAACACAAGAAATGGTATATGTATCATATGTCTAAAGTGTGGGTAATACTTGTTCGATGCAGAGATACAATGTTTTGCAAAAGAACATTTTAAGGTTAGAACACATCAACAACCCAGAGATGACACCCCTCCACATACATCGAGGTTAAAAATTGTCTAGTTCATTTTGAGACTTTTTGTCTGCATTTTCTTGTTTCATCATCAATATCACCACCACCTGCCAACATTTATTGAGTGCTTGATAGTATGTAGACACTTTTCTAAGCATTTTCATATATTATATCCTTTAATTTTTGTGTATATACTATTATCAACCCAATTTACAGTAGGCTAAATAATAGTCCTCCCAATACAAATGTAAGTCCTACTCCCTGGAACCTATGAATTTGACCTTTGATGGCAGTGCTTTGCAAATGTCCTCGAGTTTTTAAAAACACTTTGGTTGTACTTTCTCCATTACCATTTAACCCCTTCACACCCACCTCCCCACTGTAATCACCACGTTGTAGTCCTTGTCCATGAGTCCTTTGCCTTTGAGTTTTAAAGACCATGACTCGGGGGGGTTATCTTGCACTACCTGAGTAGGGCCTAAATGCAATCACATGTATCCTTACGAGAGGGAGGCAGAGGGAGTTTGGATACGAGAAAGAAGAGGAGGAGGTAATGTAGCCATGGAAGCAGAGACTGGAGTGATGCAGCCACAGCCCAGGAATGCTGGCAGTCACCAGAAGCTGGGGAGACAAGAAAGGATTCTCCCCTAAAGCTCCAGAGGGAGCATGGCCCTGCCAACCCCTGGATTTCCACCCAGTGAAACTGACTTCAGACTGCTGGCCTACTGAACTGCGGGAGAATGCATTTCTGTTTGGACACCAGGTTTGTGGTAATTTATAATAGGGAAGTCATAAGAAATGACTACATATGAGGAAAGTAAGTCACGGGAAGGTAAAATAAAGTGCCCAATTTAGTTAATGCATAAATTAAATAAATTGACCAATTTAGTCAATGAATAAATTACGAGTTGCTTATTTAGTGGCTGGCCCAGAAGTTGCTCCTCTGCAGCCTGTATCTTTTGGTATAGCCTCGTACTATTCCACTGCTTACTGTGTACTCCTTTCAAACCCCTACAATTCTCCATACTCTGAAGGGAGCTACATCTTTCCTCCTCAGTTGTTTCTAGAAAATTCCATCACAGCCACAGTGAAAGAACAAAGACGGCAATCCTCAACACATACACATCAAAATACCCTTCCAGAGCTCTTAGCAGAGGCAACAGCACACTCTCAAGAGATGCCCTTTAGTGCTTGTGGAGTGTCGGACATGAAAGACTGAGATCATTGTGATTTTGTCACAATAATAGATGGGAAAGAATAGGTACGGAACCAAGCTCTAGACCCCCTACATAAACTAAAGATGACCACTTCTTGTCCGAGCAGAGGAGGAGAGGAGCTGTGATGATAGAGACAGGGCAAGGGGATGTGGGGACCAGGACACTGGACCTGCAGGGAGGCTGTGCACACAGGAGCAGGGTCCGCTTAAGTTGATTTCCCAGCCACCACTTGGTGCTGGCTCTGTTTTCACTAGTGCCCTGGGAACACGTTGGAGGGGACACCATCCATGGTTTTCGCTCAGAGGCCCGTGGTTGTCCAATGACTGTGTGATGCAAATGACATGTATGCCCACCTCTGTAGGGAGAGGACTGTCCCAACCTCAGTGCATAGGGTGCTTCCAAGTGCCAGAAATTGAGTTTGGGACTCAGAGAACATAGGGAAAGCTGATGTGAAATGCAAAGCCCTTGAACTTACATGTGGCCAGGACTGAAAACTACCAGATGAGAACTCTCTGAACAAGGACAGCGGGGAAACCCTTTCCCCTCATTCTCTGCTGTATATGTATGGGACTCATGAGGTTAGAAGCATTTCCAGTTCTCATCGGTAGTCAGTTACTCTACAGATTTACATTTTTCCCCAACTCAGGAATTCAAAGTGCCATTAGAGCATGCCTCGATTACATCAAGAATAAAACACTTTATCTCTTCTTTCTTTTTTTGGTTGTCGGTTTGCTACACATATCATTCAATTACTTTCACAGTTACAGCACTTTATTGATAATAAAACATTTTATATCATTTTTGGTTGTTGGCTTGCTACATGAGTCATTTGCAGGAACCCTCTAAAGGGAAAATATTATAGAAAAATAATTGCTTTAGTTAGTGAATTAAGTTTAACACAAGGCAATTTACCTGCAGGCAAACTGTTCACTGACTGCCCCCTTTCCTGGCCATCAGGTTTAATCTCTTGCTGTTAGTCTTGATGACTACAGAAGAACTCTTATTTCCCATTTTAATAGAATTCATTGGATTCAGAATGAACTAGCATAAGCTCAAAATTTACAGCAATTTCCATGGCAGACCTGTAAGTTCCTTTCATTGTGACTTGGATAAATTTAAATTATACAAATAAAACAAAAGTGAAAGTTATGAACTAATAATATGTATTTGTTGCACTCATTAAATCTCTCAGTATGGTTCTCACTTAATTTGTTGGCACTATAACATATTTATTAGCTGCACTATTCTTTGCAATGATTCTATAAAAATGTGAATGAGAACAGTATTATGTTGGGGTTATGGGCAGGCCACCCCAAAACACAACAAAGCAGCACATTGATTGTTTTAAATTAAAGTTACTGGAGTAACAGTCAGTACAAGAAAAGCATTCTGACCTTTCTGTCCCCTGAAGGCAGGAAAGAAATCCCCCACGTGGAAGGTACCCTCAGCAAAGGTACTTCCTTATCAGCAAAGACAGGGAAGGAAGGGCCCAAAGTCTATGTAAACAAACCTGGCTATTTCTTCACTTACCACCCTAAGCTCAAACCCTGCTTAGATACTCCACTAGTTAAGCTCCCATGTCTAAGTTCCTTTGCCCTATCGATTACTCACAAATTTATTTTTTCTTTGTCTAAAAAGTATAAAAGATGCCTGCTTTGGACATTTCTTTAGGTCTCATTTCTGTGAGACCACCATATGCATGATTAAATTGTTTTCCCCCCTCCTGTTAATGTCTTGTGCCAATTTAATTACATAAGCCAAAAGAAAGAAGGGGTGTGGGGGAGAGATTTTTCCATCCCCACAACAGTATCCAATTTACTTACAGTTCAAACTTCTTACTTAAGTTTGGTATAGAATTATATCATAAGTTTGGGTTTGATTTCTATCCTCTTCAAACATTAAAAAAAAAACCTTACACATAAGGCACATCAGAGGAAATACAACACAAAAAACCTACAACAATTTTTTGTTTTTTATTTCTTTTTTAACTTTTTTATTGTTGTTCAAGTACAGCTGTACCCATTTTTACCCCACCCATCCCTGCTCCCCACCCTTGAACCTTTTCCCCTTTGTCTTTGTCCATGTGTCCTTTGTACATATTCCCTGATGGCCCTTCCATGTTCTTTATTTCAATAAAGAACACACTGACAGTAACCTAAGTAACCTAAGTGCCCATCAGTAAATGAGTGGATTGAAAAACTGTGGCACATTTACACAGTTTTTTTTTGTAATGAAATACTACACAGCAGAAAGAAAGAAGGAACACTTATGCTTTGCAACAGCATGGGTGGAACTGGAGACCATTATGCTACATGAAATAAACCGGAGGTGAAAGACAAGTACCATATAATCTCATCTGTAAGTGAAACCTAATCAAAACAAAGAAGTGAGCAAAATGCAACTAAAGACATTGAAATAAAGTACAACAAATTTTTATAAAGAAAACAAATGAACACAGATTACTTATTTTGTGGGAGCTTTTCATTACCACATCAAAGCATGTACTTTGGAAATACGTAGGTTGATACTTAACTATAGATCAACAAATTAATCTTAAAAATAATTTTGAGTAATTCAAATGTCATTTCTCTTACACTTCTTGGAATGAGACGATTATGTGATGATTTAAGCACATCATGGTTAAGAAATTCACAACTGATGTCCCTGCCATTTTCTTTATAACTTAAATGATACAAACTATGGACCTTGTACTTTTGGAGCATATGTGATCACTAAGGGGACAGTTTGTAGAATAAGGAAGAAGAAAGTGAGGAGAGAGAAGAGAAACATGAAACGAAAACAGAAGGCTGGAAGGTGTGAGGGTAGCCTGGAGACAGAGAGCACGTCAAGGCCAACAGAAGAGAGAATCTCAGGGACAATAATTATAGCATAGCCTGAAAGCCTCCCAAAAAAGGGAACATTGAATTCGCTGATTGGTGGGGGAGTAGTGGCCTTACAAAATGCAAAGCCAGGAGAGTATTGGAAGTGAAAAACTGAATTACAAGAGGAGAAACCTAAAAAGACAAGATTTTTAAAAAAGATTTTATTTATTTATCTTTAAAGGGGAAGGGAAGGAGAGAGGGAGAGAAATATCAATGTATGGTTGCCTTTCGTGTGTCCCCTGTTGGGAACTGGCCTGCAGCCTAGGCATGTGCCCTGACTGGGAATCGAACCATGGTTGCTTGATTCCCAGGCCCGTGCTCAATCCACTGAGCTACACCAGCTAGGAGAAGACAAGATTTTTTTCCCACAAATTTTTGGGGTCAAGGTAGTGAAAACATAGCAAGGTGGCTTCCAGGGTGGTCAAGGAGAACAGGAGTTGATGTGCAGAGAAGCAGATATTAGCTATGTCTGCTCACATTTACTAAGCTCAGACTTGACAGAAAATTATTCCAGAATATCAGCTTTGCCCCTAATACCTATTCCAGTAAATAATAAATGTATAAAATTATTTCATCTCATTAGTGTAAATTACAGAGTTGTTCCCATTTTATTTAAATGCTTGAATTTTAAAATAAGAATTTCCAGAATTTTTT